AATTGATCAAATTGAAAACAGTTCGTTTGATCCTCGGCAATTCTCATCATTCTCAGCGGTAGGTGTTATATAACAATTACAGTTGAACCCCCCCTATAACATGGTAGATATGTTCCGCTTTATAACAATTTCGCATTGTAGGAATCCTCAAGTACATGAGTCAATCACAACCCGGCACGTGTGCTGTTTATGGACTACGGCTGTTTGAAAGGTTTTCTTCCATAAAATTAATCAATTCTAGACTAATTTCACTCAACATTTCCAAAACACATATAATTTTTTGGGAATAATCTGTATAAACTATCCTATAAACAAAAAATTATAGGATTACTTACCGAGTGTGCACCGTTCGACCACGCCACTGCTTAAGCTTGTTTTCTTCACAGAGCAGTGCACCAAATGGCGGCTGCATTTTCTGATAAGTTATTTTTCTGCAAAAAATTCATTGAACTTTGAAGACATCATTAATATAAATAATTTTTATGACTGTTGAATAAGAAATGTTTTTTTCACAAGAAATGTATAAAATTACAGTACTGTATTAGATTTACAGTACCTAATTTAGGCAACCGGATAGCTGAGCGGTCAAGGTGGCAGCCTACTGCTCTGGGGGATCAGGGTTTGAAACCGAACGGGTTAAAAAATCCCAACAATTTTTTGGTGGGTGGTCCGTTCGGATATGTCGGGCCCCGTCCCTCATCACCCGGCAGCCCCATTGTGGGCCTGGCCGAACCCATAATGGGCTTGCAAAAAGAGGCCCTTTTAGTGCCCACAGGGCAGAAAGAGTTAAAAAAAAAAAAAAGTACTTAATTTAGGCCTATATACTGTACAGACGATAGTAAACTCAACTTACCCGCCTAAACTCTCAGTAGCATGTAAGTACAGTCGACCTCCCTATAACGTACGTTCCTATAACGACAATTCCTATAACGTAGCGAAAAAATTGTAGAAACTTTCGTATAACGTACCTCCTATAACGTCGTTTCGCGACAAGATTGATAGAGTCTGGACCAATAGTGGATGAGCAGCCGAACTACTTACCTCCGACCCTGCGCCACGCTACGGAGCGGCTAAATTGAGTTTGCTATCGTCTGTTTAGTATTATATATAAATTA